TTGTTTACCATTTGGTCTCACACAGATGAGTTCTTAAAGGTGCGAAGTACTCACTGGCAATATTCTTTATTTTTATGAGCCAGTCTGTTAACTGAACTAAAAGGTGACCTTAGATGTAGTTTTGATTTAAACTTTATGGAGTATTTCAAGGTCATAATCTCATGGAGTCCTCTAGTCTCAACTGGTCAGTAAGTGTGGACTTTTGAAAAATTTGAGCTCTTTTCCACCCCCCCACCCCGCAATCAACAGACCTTTCTTCAGCATCACTCGGGCTGACTGAGGCTGACTGGTAATGCTGGGTATACGGAAATAAACAAGGCAGTCTCTGATCATAAGCAGCACATCCTGCTGGGCAGTCTGTTACAGTATTGTTGGTCTGATCCCAAAACACAGTTAAGAGGAGGAGGAGCGTGGAGAAACCTGAGGGAGAGTATCTGGGAAAGCTGCCCCAGAGGAGTTACAGCTGAGTCGCCTATGAAAGAACACGTAGGACGTAACTGAATGGATGTGGGAAACACGTCAGGAGAAACGATACGGCATGACCTGGGAAGGTGAAGAAGGAGGCAGACGTTGAGTAGGTTCTATGAATGTTACCTTTGGCAGCTAGGAGGAAAGATAAAACAGTGGTCAAGAACTATGAAGCGTTAGACTTGAAGGGCAGAGCAGTAATATGCTGTATCACAGTTTATACATTGAATACATGAATGACTTTATGTTAATAATTTTGCACAAAAAGAGTGTGACATTGTAAATGGACTGTTTCTTCCTCTTTGATGAAATGATCTGTCCCTGACCTACTGTGAGATCCTCGTTGGGCGCCTGATGGTAGAGGAAAAACAAGCACAGCAGAGGCAAGGAAGATGGAGCTACTTGGTTCAGGCTGTGACCACAATTTCTTTCGAAGCAATGGCAAGTTTGTTCAGTGGTGTCAGAACACAGGTATTAGAGGCAGACAGGCCTGGGTATTTCTCATCCCAGCATCCTTGCCTTGTAGTAGCTGTGATGTGGGAAGATTACCTGACCTCTCTGAGGAGTGTCTTTTCATCTGTGAAATAGGATTAATAATGCTAATAAGTGAGTGAAAAGTATTGGTACTATACTGGTGCTGTTGTCCATGGGCTAGATGTTGGTTTGAATTTCACCTTTTCCTTAAAAAAATTATCTGAATACCTAAGTCATTAATCATTTTTATTGTTTTTAGTTTTTGTTGTCGTACGTTCTTTGTTATTTTTGGTATATGTAACACTTTGACTTGAGACAGTGCTTTAACTTCATATGGGTGCTTATCCTTATTCAGCCTTTCTTTCCACTCAGAGTTTGATACTTTTTTTTTCCTCCTCCTCTAAAGAAAATTTACTATTCCTCTTGGGCTGGGGCTATTCTTAAAGCTGTTCTGAAAGGCACTGGTTTCTCAACCTAGCTGTGTGTCAGAATCACCTAGGGAGCTTTTATAGAAACAGAGATTACTAGTCCCAGTCCTCCTGAGAGAATGATTTTTTGAGCTCGGGTGAGCCCCAAGAAAATGTGCTTTTCTAAAGCTTCCCAGTTGAATTTGGTATGAATAGGGGTTGTGAATCAAGTTTAAGTAGGTTTATAAAATCATATAGGCAAATGATGTATGGAGTAAGCCAGGGTTGTTGTTTACATAAAATAACGTGGCATAATAATTAGAGTTAATTAGTGAACTTGATTAGATTTAGGGCTTTATACAGTAGAATTGGGGAGGAGTAAACTTGGCTTGAGAGTGGTAGCGTTAT